ATCAGTCAGAATATCTGTCTTTCGTCTCATTCTTCCTCCTTTTTTGGGTTTGATTAGGTCCGCTTTCGGCAATCTCTTAATATCTTAAGGCGAAATAAATACTGTTGCATTGTTGGACTTGGGTAATAAAGTAGTGTGTATTTTTGGTGACAAGGTAGTGGATGGACCCGGTTGACTTTCCAAGTGACTGCTGTGTTGAACTGTAGGTGATTCTGGATGATTATTTTCTATGTTTTCTTCATATAGAGGTCTATCAGTTACAGTTGATGCATTGAAATCACTATCGTTGAAAATCTCTTGATTAAAAGGCCAAATACCAGTGCAGGAGACACCAGCAAGAATATTGACAGGCGTAGTGGCCAAAGGAAGTTATGTTCTTACAATTGAACGCAAATCGTATATAGTCATCTAGGATTATTTTCCATCCACTGATCACCAGTATTATTAAAATATTTCTTACACGGACCATATACCCCACGATCTAAAGGTTGAAGCCTATGGGCTACCCATCTCTAATAAAGTGGTCTTGAAAACGTAATCGTGGGAAGACGAACATTGGGGGTACAGTATTTCCCACTTCATTGATGGCTACACATAGTGTTACTAGAGTTCTACGTTCCTGGGGTGATATGGATACTACTTGCTTAGTTCCTTTTCAAGCTATAACTTTGGATTACTTCTGAACGGTCGAAACACCTTCGTCAATGTTATATATATTGACAATATATATACATATATATTGTAAGGCTCAAAATTATATCTGTCTAAAACAGTTGATAATTTATTAAAAAAGTTGTTTACATTTTTTTTATTAAAATTCATGACTCATGAAAGGCTAGTAGCTTAAGGTGTATGAAAACTTAAATTTGGATTTCGTCGCATAAAAGCAATAAGCCAGTCTTCACTTGCATATTTAGTTATGTTCAATTTTTCTGGATAGGACTCTGTTATACTTTGCAAATTGAAAAGTTAACTTGCGTAAATCTTTTGTAGTAAGTCCGAAATTCAAATCTACAGTAGGGTCGCAGTATTTAGCAAGCTGTAAGTCCATTTCATCATTAAAATACTCTGTTGTGAGGATTGTATCCAACCCGAGATTATGAGTTTTCACGTAACGATTTAACATAGCGATATTAAGAAACGTGACACATACTATAATCTTTAGCCACTTTTCTAATAGATTTGGTAGCATCTATTCATTTCATTCATTTATCATTTCCTAACTGCTTTGTCATAAATATCTTTTGACATTAACCCCCTTTCCGTTTTTCTTGGCCTTGGCTTCACCATTTTTCGTCGATCTAGAAAATAAAGAGCTCTATTAAATAAGAATATAGGGTAACGGGTACAGATTGGCCACTTAAGGAATTGCCAATTGAATTAAAATTGTAAATTGGTATCTTTTAACCTGAAATATTTTGTAAGGGTTTATTAATAGTAATGAAACATCAGATTTTATAAAAAATCGGGTTATTTTAATCAGAAATTATAATGTATATTAAAAATTAACACAAATTTGAAAACTTACAGAACTACACAGTTATTGGCCACACAAACATAGTTATTGGCATATAGAATTACAGTCATTGGCCATTCATAAAATTCCTAATTTTCTTTTTTCATTTGTGCAGGAAAGACACACAAAATTATTTTCTCAAAATAAACGAAAGTTTTCAATTTCTTGTTGTTTCTTTGCACAATTACCAATATAGTAGCCTCTAACATAAAATAAACATTTTATTCCAACTTTTGATTTAGATTTATTATAGGAACAAGAATAAGAACACAATCCTGCGTACAAAAGGTTATTTACAGGTGGGTTAGTGTCGCCTGATTGTTTCACCGCTAGATCTGAAAGAATTTGTATTTTTTTCATGTTCTGGATATCCCTCAGTTTCAAAAAATAACTTTCTTTTAGCCGACTCCCAGCACGTTTTTCTTTGCTGGTTTCCAAATTTATACATTTGCTTTGGCATGTATTCTTTAAATTTGATGAAATCGTATTATTGCAGATATTTTAACAATCTGTTGTGAAGTGAGCACTGAAGGCAACCGTTCTGTTTGCTTTTTGTTCTTTGTTTCTGAGGTTTTTGGCAAAAAAAAATTGTTAATGGAGATGTCAATTTCTTTAGATAATGAAATGTATTGATTAATTAAAGGCAGATTATTGGATATTGATTGAATATTTTCTGTCATTGTATCTTCTGTGACATCTTTTATATTATATGTAATATCAACGTTTTCTGGAAGTTGAACTCGAAAATTCGAAAGTAGATTTTCTTCTGTAATAACAGGAATATATTGTAAGTTGCATCTTATTTCATTGCCACCTACAGGGTTAAGTGTAATATCTGAAGATATATGGGTTTCTATGATCATAGAGGTATCCTGTATATCATTTGTGATTCCATCTGTCTCTGTAGTCTGAATCGTGGGTAGATCTATGATATTTTGAAATAAATTAAATATATTAAAGAGCAATTTTTAATCTCCATTTAGTTCTTCGCAATTATCCAAACTTTGAAATTCTAATATTTTTGCGGTTCCAACTGTGTCTACAAAATCTTCATATGTTATTGATTTTTTCATAGAAATAGTGTGATTAATACCTTTATGCGGGTCTTTGATCTTTGATCTTTAATGGCTATGTTTAGTACGAATGCAAAGTTCTCTTTGGTAATTACTGAAGTAAAAAACATTCGTGAATGAACATTCGTGAAGGTATAATCGTAGCATTGGGATATAAGGCCACTACAATAATTTGTAACTTTGAACATAATTCATTGGTTTAAATGATTAAGTGAGTTTTACGTATATTAACGAACAAAATGACTGGAAAGTTAGTGTTTTTCGCAACTAGGTACTTATATAAGACGTTTCCTATGTATTCATAGAAGTTTTCATTATTCATCGATCCCGTATCGCTACATCCTGTGCCCCATTCTCGTAGAACGGAATTTAAAATATTACTATGAATTCGTTTATAAGGGCAAATAATCATTAGTGCTGTTATTTCGCCAGGTGCTGCAAAAGGAAACATACCCGTCAAATTAGCTTTGGAGTGATGCTCTATTTGATATACATTTTTGCTTCGCTTTGCAGCCAACACTCGCTAATTTTTGGGACACAAGAGGAAGCAGGTTTCATCGCCATTTAAAACACGTGAAAGGTCTTGAAGAATATCAATGTTAATTTTACGATGCAAGTATTATTGATCACCGGTGAATCATCTTTTTTTAAATCTTTTTCAGACACAACTGAATTTCTGCCATTACCGCTTCTGGAGTTAAATCTTAGTGTCGCTTTAAAAAGGATTTATACCAAACTTTTCCGGGTCAATTGTCAGTTGACACGTGGATTTGCGTCAAGAAAACCTTTAGCCGATTCTTGTATATCTTCCACTCTTACTGGAAAACCTTTGTCTTGTATGTTATGATCCAATGCTTTAAACGATTCTCATCCACTAAACAAAGAATTGGATTGGGACCAAGGGTAGTTGTTTCATTAAATGTTTCACTTGCTCTAAACCACAATGTTGCTCTTGGCACATTAAATTGTTCAGCGGCTTTTTGTTGGCTCATGCCACTTTCTATGGCCTGAAAAGCAGATAGAAGATCTTGTTCTGTATATTATTTGTGATACGTTTTATCTTTCCGTTATTTAGCATTTTTGATTCTAAAAATAAAAATCATTTAATAGTAATAATGTTAGCTACAATCCGGACGTTTCAAACTTGATTCAATATGCCCATATTAGCAATAATTTTATAATAACTAAAACCTTTTCTAATTTTATAAATACGAATCCGGACAAAAAATATATTCTTATTACACATTACAGTTATTGGTCACCCTGTGGTTTAGTGATTGGCAGTCGGCCAACCACTGATTATTGCCTTAAATAATAAGAAAAATATATGAAATATCTTATCTTGGACCAAACTAGGCTAAAAAAGTCTAAATTATAATAAATATTTTAATTCGAAGTAGGTACAGTGATTGGCCGGTATGCCAATCATTATAACATGGACATATTTAAGATACAGTGCTTATATGCAATGTAAGATATACCCCACTTACTCGTCATAAATCGGATATATAATAATATTAGCCAAGATAACTCACCTCGTAAATAGCCTTCCTTAACAAATTCTTTAAAAAACTCTTAAAACTGCATGCACCTATTAAGCTTCAAACAACACATACCATAACAACTAGATAATATTATCTGAGAGAGATGATTACAAAATATCACGATTACAAAAATTTTGTAATCGTGATATTAGTATTCATCTACGAACTACAATGTTAAAATGCTATGTATTCAGTACTTTGCTTTACGGTGTTGAGGCATGGACTCTTAAACAGAGGAACATTAAAAATCTTGAAAGCTTTGAGATGTGGTGCTACCACCGTATACTAAAAATAAGTTGGGTGGATAAAATTACAAATGAAGAAGTAATACGCAGAATAAATAACGATCCAGAAGTTATTATGAAGATAAAAAAGAGAAAACTTGAATACTTAGGCTATCTGATGAGAGGACAAAAGTACACGTTCCTACAAAATATAATACAAGGAAAGATCCAAGGACGTAGAAATCCAGGCCGTAGAAGAATGTCCTGAATGAGAAATTTAAGAGAGTGGTTTGGCTGTACCACTAACGAATTATTCAAAACAGCAGTTAATAAAATTAGAATCGCCATATTGATATCCAATCTCCGATAGGAGAGGCACTCAAAGAAGAAGAAGAGAGATGATATTTAGAAAATATACAGCAGTGTTAAAAAATTAAATGCAAATAAATTTATTTCCTTATAGTTTTTGAAAATCTTAATATTTCGGATTTTTTAAAGTGGCCAATCACTAGTGACCGGCCGACAACTGTACCCGTTACCCTAATAGGTGTCAATTGTAACATGTTACAAACGATGCCGCAGTGTGTGTTATAATCGACACCAAGTTAACCTATAAATAAGAAAGATAATTTTTGTATACATTATGCCCTTCTTAGAAAAGGTGAGCTACAGTAAACGAAATTAAGGATGTTAAAAAAGATTGGCCTTACCTTAAAATATTTTCAAGTTGAGTTTTGAACGGCAAAATTAACAATTTGTGACGCAAATAAAATGTACTTTTATGATGAAATACAAACATGTGCTTGGAACTTGTGAAATAGGTTACGGCTAACTCTGAAATTACAGTCGGTGGTGTGAGCTGGATATCCGTCTATGCATATTAGTGCGTTTTGATTTATTTCAGACGATGACGCAAATATCATTATTGTTACAAACGACACCTGTTACAGTTAACACCAGTAACCTATATTTTTAATTTGAAATTAGTCAAAGGTCTCGAACGTTTTTGGGGTGGCTGATCACGAATACCAGGAAGGCGATGATCTCCAAACTAGGTTTATGGTGTCCATCGTGGAACTGGTGTTCCAAAATTCCAAGGGAAAAACAAACTGTAAACTGAGTGGATAAAGAAACATAAAAAGTTAACATTCGTACATGGTAAATTATTTTGTAGAGGATGTGTAAAGACGGTTAGTTTTATTTAACAAATTATCCTTGAGTGTTTCTTTGATAATGTGAAAAAATATAGTTGAGTTTTCTACTCAAAAAAAAATAAATGTGTTTTAAAAAAAATACAGGGTGTTAAAATCGTATGTTTATTTTTGTTTTTTTTTTTGCAAGCAATATTTGAAATAATGTCGGTAGGTGGATGAAGACTGGTATTTTGGTGTATTTTGACATGCAAAATTTGAATATGATCTACGAATTGGGTTAGTTGTAGAAGGTATTCTAGTTAGTTGTAGAAGTGTCTACTTTTTGTTTTTATTTTTTGTGAAACCGTAAATTTTGACGTACGTGGATGTCATTTTTAAGTCAGAAAATAGATTTCTCCATTAATTTATTATAGAAAAAGTATACGTGATGAAAATCCCTATGAGCAACCATTGTCTAGATATTTCGATTTAAACTAATCTACCCATGTTATTTTAAATTAGGAAATATTTTTCAAAATTTACGGCAAATATGTACTTGATACAAATCACACCTTTTATCGTGCCTTGCTTTGTATTCAAGTAATAAGTAATAATATTTAACTAAACTATCTAAAATATTATTTATATAAAAACAAACATAAACAGATACTTTAATTTCTAATTTTAAATTTAAGCATTTCCGGATACCTACATATTTTTGGATTGATTTTTTTAAGCAACGAAACTGATCCGTAAACACCCTGTATTAATTCGCTAAGTTACTTTAAATTAGCTTATTACATTGATGTAATTATTGATTACAGATATAATGCGACAAAAAATACAATATAGTACAGTATAGCTTAGTATAGTACTGTACTTTAGTAAGAACATATTTATATCAAGAATGTCTAAAAAGCATTTTAATTTTAAATTTAAGCAACAAACAATTGCAGAATGCTTAAAATCAACTCGTGGATAATATGGCACACAGCATAAATTTAATTTTGATCTATGCAGTGCAATAGTGGATTATGATATCTTTCTATATAATCTTATATAGAAATATAATTCTATATATACCACTTTTATTTTGTAAGTGAAATAATGAAATATTTAGAGAAACAGCAAAAATGTCATTAGTTGAGTCGATTAAAAATATCAACAGTTTTAAAAAAAGATGAAAGTGTATCCCTGAAAAGAATGGGTTATTTACAAAACTTAAAATGTAATCACAAAAAAACCAAGGATTTCAAAAGATGAAGAAAATATTGCTGAAAAAATTTGGCATATAACTCTTATTCATCTCATGTTTAAGCACTCCATAAACAAAATAATTCATCTTCAACTGTTAATTTGGCTAATTATTTGATCACTGGTTTAGATTGTTTCATTTAAAAATTGTTCTTGATATTCATGCTTCGATATTTACCACGGAAGGCTGGATGCACTATGGACCAATACCTTATGATCAAATACTAGTATACACCATTGGGATGACCTTTCTGCAGCTAGACTAGTAACAATAATTATAACCGATATTTTCAGGTACCACTTAAAATTAAGTATTTGAACAATTTTTTAAATATCTATTTATGGTTAATGTTTTTTTTTTCTTAAACCTTATGTAAATCAACAAAAATTTAGATGAATCATTACAACCGAATTTTTGGCTTCTAGTATACTACTATCAATTGCTAATTATATTTAATGTCTTTACTGACATTTTTATTTTCTGTTGCAGCAGTATTTTATTCAACAAAATATAAATTTTAAGTAGACAGATTTTCAATTGCATAATATAAATTATTCAACTTCAGCGTGTTTGTTGCAGGTGTTATTCATTGTTGTGGGAATTTCTGCTGCATATGCTGAACCCAAGAAAACCAAACGTGGTGTCTTTGGGGAACACAATTCTGTAGGAGGAATTCCACCACCACAATATGGTCCGCCAGGTGTAGGAGTTCACGCACATGGTCCAGGTACTGGTAATCTTCATGGATCCAATGTCCCAGGTATAGGCGGTCCAAGTAGTGTGGGTTTTGGAGGACCTAGTGGTCCTGATTTCGGAGGTCCCAATGGTCCAAGTTTTGGAGGACCTAGTGGTTCAGGTTTTGGAGGACCCAGTGGTCCCGGTTTTGGAGATCCTAACGATCCAAGGTTTGGAGCTTCTAATGGCCCAGCATTTGGAGGTCCCGGTGGTCCAGGTTTTGGAGATCCTGGTAGTTTAGGCTCACGAGGTCCTCTACGAGGTCCTCAAGTAGGTCCACCTCAACCCTTAGGTACATCTGTGGACTTGGGGAAAGAAGTACTACGACAAATCAAAGTAATACACAAAGTAGGCCATCATTATGCTATACCTATCGGTGTTCCATACGATCGGGCAGTACCTGTAAAAATTCCAAAACATGTTAATGTTCCAACGCCTTTAAATATTCCTGTACCTGTACCTGTTGAAGTTAAAGTTCCAGTTTTTAAAGATATTCCTATACCAGTGGAAACTAGAGTACCAGTCCCAGTTGAAGTAAACCGCGTTAAAATACCTGTTCGAGTGCCCGTAAAAATTATCCATAAAAAACCTGTTCCGATAACTATTATTAAAAAGATCCACGAACCAGTACATTATCCTATTGTAGTTAAAAAGCATGTACCAGTAGTTGAGAAGACGATTCTAGTACCGCTTAAACATGGTTGGAGCGATAATAAGTGGAAATAGTTAAAATATTGTATATATTTGTTATTTCATCTTGTTAATAAAATATTAAGCTTTAATTGTTTGTTTAAAATCGGTTTAAATGCAATTTAAAACTATTTAGTTTTAACTACGAAGTTTAATTTACGTCTACATAAAAAAACGAATTACAGAATTCCCGAGAGACATCTCCGGAAAGTTAAAACTCATGTAACAGATTATTAGCGACGCAAGAAAGTATAAATAACAAAATTAAATAGCTACAGATTATAGAAAATGTTTATTAGAGAACACACTTGTCTTGATCATTTTTATCACGATTTTAGCCACAAACAACACTTTACTTTTAGAATAAGCTGTTTAGTTACTGAAACCACACTTGTCGATAGGCTTCGAATAATCGCTTAAAATTGCCTGCCGTTCAATCACGTCAACTTCTTTGTTTCCCGTTATTTCGACGTGTAACGGTACCCACAAAAATTGGACTCTTCCTCTATGTTGATGAGCTTGAGACAACTGGTATTTTAGTAACTTTTTAAAAGGATATTTCGAAAATATATGTTGAAATAAGTTTAGAGAGCGAAAGGAATCTGTTAAGATCATGACTCTGTAAAGGTAAGCTACTTAAAAAGTTCACAGCAAGGTATATAGCGTAGAGCTCAGCTAAACATATGCTATGTACTGAGGGTAGGAGGAAAGAAATATTGTTTTTTAAGGAAACGATTGATTGAAGCCCCACTTCGTCTTTGGTCTTAGATGCATCTGTGTAGATTTTATAGTGGTCGGGGCACTTTTCTAAGAGGACTTCAGTCGTGAATCGAATCAAGGAATTGTATACACTGGGTTTATTAAAATAGTACAAGGATAAATGTATCACAAATTACTAAGTCGATCAGCCAAGGCTAAGGGTATTTAATATTTAAGTAGAAAACATCCGGAAAATTAGTGATTAGGTTTTAAAGTATAGATTTAATTGTTTCGCAATATAGTTTCTTAGTATAGCGAATATCTTGGATTTTATTTACGTATCTATTTGTAAAAGTATCTTGATGAATTGATTTTAAAATATTACAAGCAACTGAGGCTGCATCTGATAGAGCAAGGAACATGCTGCGGTGATGTAACCGTGGTTCTCCTTAAAGAGCATAAATGCTGAATACCGGTAAGTTGGAAAAGCTGCTATTCTAAGACTTTTATTATCAATAATATCTAATAATTTAAGAATAAATATATTGATTAGCAATGGAAAAGACTATTGTTCCATAATATCTACTACTGCTCTATAGTCGAATTAATATTGTCTGTTATTTACAAACTGGAAATATTATTATCGATATATTCGGACAATTTTTGCCAATTTGTATTTTTTATTTTTCACTTATATATAGATATGGGACCTAATAAGAAAAAATTATGCTTTTAAATAGGGATTGGAAAGTGGTCACAACCGTTTCTATATGCTAGAGCCTCCCAAATGAGGCAATAAGCTAAATTTGTGTCACAGAGAGTTAAATCGATATATGAGGAATACCCTGTTGAAATATTTAATATTTTAGGGCGACCGTCATTAAGAAAAATTATATTAAGTTGATCTATCATCAAATCAGCAATACTTGTGCCTCTGGCAGATGAGTGATCTGATCCTTATATTATGTTGTGAGCATTAAAGTCGTCGAGGATACGGGGACGTGGAAATTGTTCCAATAACCTGCAAAGACTATCAGAATTTACTTGTATGTCACAAGGAAGGTAAGCATTGCAAATGGACACTGAACTGGAAGTTGTGATTTTGACATTAAACCCCTCCAAATCACCGAACGATTGTCTATAGAGTCTATAGAATCACTATCCGAGGCAGATATATTTTCTCCAAATGGTTAAGTAGTTTCTTTTGAAGTTTTTTAAAGATGGTATTTGTTGATCTATTATTATTATATTGAAAGCTGTATTTAAAAAGATGGAATAAATCAACTGTGTCATTAGTAAATTCTTTGACAACGTTAATAGTATCGGCTGAGCCTTGGACATTATCAACCATTAAGGTCAATTGGTGGTAATTTAAAACAAAAGGTGGTGTATGAATATCAATAAAAAATTTAAAAGCGTGTAGATAAATCGTTAAATGAGCGTGGTTTTTTTAATTTACAAGATTTGGATTTTATGAACAGATCTTGTGAATCTCACCAGACCTGCATTTTATGGAGGTATTTGTATTGGCGTGAGTATTATCAAAGTTTTCGTTTAGGTACTGTGGCCTTATTACATTTGGAAGTACTGGAACTTATAATTAGTGACATAAATCGAGTTTAAAAATTTATTTGTAAGATTGGCTGAAATAGTAGTTTCAGAAAAATGTGGTTATGTATCAGCTTTATGAAAGTTTTCTTTAATTTTATCCAATGGAAGAGGTGTTCATGGTTTGTAGGATATTTATTTTGAAGTTTATGAAAATTGGGTACTCGCTGAATGAGGTTTATTGAAAGGATTGCTATAACTAGGAGTGTTGGTAATGTCTAAGTAATGGACATTTGTACTAGTATTACAAAGGGTGTTATTCTTGCAGATTTGGACTAATGCTGATTTATAAGTACAAAACAAAATGTTTCCGCTAATATATGTAATAGTAACATTTTGTTTTGTTGCTTTTCTTCTCTTATGCTACTGAGATCTTTAAGAGTTACATTGTAAAAGGTTTCTTCCCCTTTCCATTTTTCGTCACTTTGAGTTTTACAGTTATTGCTTTATATCCTTATTGAATTACGAGTGGTAACGTAAGTCTGATACCAACGTATTGGATTTTTTGTGCTTTAACAAAAATTCGCACACTGTTTTGCCAGCGCAGCCAGGTAGTTTTCGAACAGCCATCACGCTATTTAGTCTTGCAAAATCTTGTCTGTAAATGTAGCATATCCACTTTATAAGGTCAAATTTAGACCAACACTAACATTTATTGCTAATTTAATACGGAAAGAAAAAACTTATTGCTGTAGCCGTTTCCGGTAAACAGTAAGTATTTTAACTTTACGGTTAAAGCGAGCATAGCCATAGCTATATCTAAGCAATAAAAGGGGTACGGGGCTCAACATGGTGGCACATTTAATTGTTAATTGTATTAATTTCTGTTGATTGATATATTAACGAATCTCTAAAAACAACCCCATCTAGCTCAAAACATACCCTTGGAAAACCGAGATCAGCCAAAAAGCAAACCGCAAGGAAATAATTGCTAATTTATTTCCGAAGTTTTATGCCTAGAAACAATATATTGCTGCAAACGTTTCCAAGATTTAATGGCTGTGCTAAATATACAGTAAAGCTAGCATAGCCATATCTCTATCTCGGTAATGAAAAGGGTTACAAAGCATATCTTGGAGGCATATTGTATTGTTAATTAATTAATGTTAATTGGTATATTGACCAATTCCCAAAAACTACCCATTATCGTCCAAGCGCAAAACTCATCTCTGTAAAAATCTAGATATCGGCCAAAAACGTTAAAATCAGAAAAGTGAACTGCTATGAATTAATCGCGAATTTATTGCTAAAATTTTATGCCAAGAAACACGTTATTACTGCAACCCTTTCCCAAAAATAATGGATGACTAAACCTATCTTAGCGTTATATTCTATTGCAAATTAATTTTTTTGAATATTGTTTAAGTTAATTGGCAAACTGTTTCCATCATACTTCAATGCAAACTTATCCCTAGAGAAATTTAACGCTGATATAGTTTATACAAAATAATATATCATTTGACCTCGCTTGTAGCTATAGTTTTTAGCTTTTATCTTTTTGGAAAGTATTTTACTATATTATTTGCATAGACCAGAAAATATTTCTCTTAACCTTCTAAGGACGAGTGTGACGTTTTCGTAACGTTCCAATCAAAAGCGATTTGTTGTCAAACTATTAACCTACTCCATCGATACCGAAAGTTACGAATTCATAATATTACGCTTAATACTGAAACAGTCACTGCGACACACTCCGGCCAATTTTTCAACCGCATACTTCTCTAAACAGATTAGGATACAAGTTGACTGATGCTAACAAAAAACTGTAGTATATGAAGAGTTCATGCTTATCACTATAAACAGTCGTAAACTGAAGATTGAACACGTGTTGTAAACGTTACGATTTCGTTACGTTCGGCGTTATAGAGTCGATTAACTAAAATAGTTCTAAATGGATCCAGCTATGTTTTACGGACGAAAACATCAAGTCATTGACATACCAAGTGATAGTGATGTAAGTATTTCTGATTCTGAAAATGAAAGTGATGAATGGGTAATAAAAGAGGACTTTGGTTCTGAAATTGAGGAAGACAGTGATAATGGTGAAGAAATAATAAACGAACAGTGTACGCGCAATAAGAATGAATATACTGATATAACAAAAAAAAAAACAATACTGACATTGTTACTCCAATGTGGAACTACAGCTTACCAAAAGCTACTTCTATAAAAGACCCCATAGAATATTTTAGAATATTTTTCAACGATAACTTTCTAAATTTGATTAGTTACCAATCGAATTTATTTGCTGTCCAAACAAACCCCAATAAACATCTGGGGCTGACAATAAAAGAGCTAGAACAATTTATGGGTACAATATTTTATATGTCTTTGATCCAACTACCAAAAACTCGATTATATTGGAGTTCTCAATTTGATATTACTACAGTTCGTGAAATAATGAGTCGAGACAAATAGGAAACAATAAAAAAAAACATATACACTTCTCCGATAATACCAAAATTGATCCATCAAACTTAGATAAACTGTACAAGATAAGACCCTTAGTAGAACCCTTAGAGTCTAGACTCTAAGGGTCTAGACCCTTAGTCCAAGAATACTATATATAGTATATATATCAATTACTGTAAATACGTGTTTCTGTTCCTGTTAATGTGTGTTTAATTTGTCCCTGATTGTCTTAATTTGTATAATTTTATAGACTTTTATATACTTGACTTTACAATAATTGATTAATTTGCCAATAGTACTTGATAATTACAAGTCAA